ATTATTTGTTTCCCCTCTTAATGTAAAGTAATGTAAGGAAAAATGACAAATTTATGATATCAAAAGTAAAGTAGCAGTACCATTATTCAAATTTAGCAATTCAGTGATGTTACTTTTTTTTTTTAAGGATTATGTCAAGAATGCTCCTTCAAATTAAATTTCCATCACAGGTAATACTATCTTTTAAAATGCTGTTGTTAATTTGAGTAGTCTTGGGCATAGTCACTTACTTGCACTGGATATCTAAAGTAGACTTGAGTGGTTAATGGTTTAGTTGATAGTATATAAAATCCAGCATGACTGTGTGACCGCATAAACCAGGGAACTGGACATTTGCCATGCCTAACTTTAGCTAAGCAGTTTTAAATGTGCAGGCCTGTGCAGAGTGGTAGGTGCTAGAATGTTTAGTTTGGAGTCAATGTTCAGATACCATAATATTCTTAGAAACTATTGTGAAGCAGGTTTTCATAAAAAATGATTCCTATGTCTCGTTTAAACAGTGTTCTAATTGGAGTTTGTCATTCTTATGAAAGAATATACCTCTGTCCTCATTTCAGATATTAACAGCAGGCGCCTTTTGAATAAGCTAGAATATGTCTGCCATACTGAGTGGGGGGAGGGTATCAATGTTCTGTAGTGTGCAGTATATATAAGATCATGGGCTTAAAAATCAGACCTCTTGTGTATTCACTCCTATCAGTTACTCCACTTACTAGTCATCTTCTTGGGCAAGCTTCTTAACCTCTGTAAGACTCAATTCTTATCTCTAAAAGTGAGGATCCTAGGGTTATTGTAGGGATTAAACAAAAATGTTTATGAAGTGCTCGACACAGTGCCTGACATATGGTAAGTCAGGCATAATGAAGTCCCTGGCATTGAAGATGTACAGACAACCTGTGTGACCTGGCATGATTGTGGTGGTGAAGTTTCATGTCCTGAATAGCACTTGAACGTCTAATAGTAAGATTCTGCAACTTTGTAAAATGTATGTATTAGTATATTAATTTAAAATCAGCAATGTTGTAAATGTGCCTTATCTAGTATTTTAGCTATTAAAAATAAATAATATTTAATTCTTAAAATTAGCAGAATTTTTTTAGATTACTTGAATAGCCTTTATTTCCCCTCTCCATCAGTAATGCTGAAAGATAGCAGAGATGTTTTTTTTTTGACCTTGAGTTTTGAGCTTCATTTCAAAATAGAAATTACTCTCATGAGAGGTAAAAAGTGATTAGTCTAAAATAATATCGTAGTATTTGGTCTAAATATCTTAATTTGAAAGATCTGATAAAACGTTTCTTGAAAGTAATTCTCTCTGTTGTCTCTTCATCCTCTTTCCCAGTTCCAGTTTCAGCATTATCACCTTTTCCTATTTAGAGTTTCTTTTCTTAACCAGTTAAAGTCGATTGCTTGCCAGCTATGGTACTGACAGTCTTGTAAACCTAGCCTAGAAGAGATAAAGCTATAGCAGTAAAAGGATAAGTGATCTAGAATATACATATGAGTTACCAATAAGCCATTCCATTCTCATTCCATTATATCTTTACTGTATTCCTGTATTCTTAAGAGAAGAATTTTCTGTTTATCGGTGGTTTAAAATTGTTTCAATGGTTTCTTGTTTTATTTGTTTTCTCGAAGTATAGGTAGATATGAATTATGTGGAGGGAAATGAGATTTGTTTTTGTAATTTTGTAGAAAGGCTAAACAGAATATAAAAAGGAGGAAATGAGTAAAACTATGACTTACATTTACTAAGGTTTATATACAGAATGTATAAAAAATAATTCTTTGTCTCAGAGTGTTCAGGCTTCATAATCTTGTAGATTTATCTTAATATACTAACTTAATACATTTACAGACTCATTTAAGGGTTCCTCACAATATATATTACATTTTAAAAATAAGTGATTTGATTAACTGATTTGATTTTTTTACCCATTGATTTTTATTTTTTGGAAATACCAGTTGAAAAAGTTAACTTTAATTTTATATTGTTCAACCTAAAGGAGAAAAGAAGTCAAGTCAAAAAAAAGAAAGGATAAAACCAAAAAAGATTGTGAAGAGTCATCACATAAAAAATCCAGATTATCTTCTACAGAAGAAGCCTCTAAGAAAAAGGATAAAGGTAAAAGGGAACTAAAAATGTAATATTTACTCATATTTCTGGACATGAAGCATAATCTCCATATATCTCAAATATAGAATTTACTTAGTGCATTTAGAATTCTGTTTTATAGTAGTTGAAAAGAAACTGATTAGAGAATTTAGATACGAATTTACAGTAACTTACAGGAATTTAAAGAACAAGGTTGGTTTTGACTCATTTTTGGCAGATAATATAATATTGGAACAGCATTCTAATACCTGGTTTTGTCACTTATAGACTTGCTACCTTGAGCAAGTCACTGAACTTCTTGAGTTTTTCTTTCCTCATGTACGTAGTGGTGATGTGAATACCTGGCCTGTGTGCTGCTGGTACTTATTGTGGAGAATTAGATAAGACTGAAAGGCACTTTGAACGCTATAAATCAGTACATAATCTGTAAGTCCGTATAAAATTATAACACTGATTTCAATTATTATGATCCGCGTGATTTTCTCACTAGCTTATGAGCTTTTTGAAATGATAGAGATTGACATATATGTGTCCTCAGAACCTGACATGGTGCTGTGCACATATAATTAGTAAATAATTATTAAATACAAATCCAAGTCAACGGCTTACTTCTTTCTCAGCAGTCCTTAAGCTGTCTAAGCCTTAAGTTTGTATGTGTAAACTGGTCATGATAATTGTACCTACCTCGTAGGATTCTTCAGAAGTTGAAATGAGATAATGCATGTAAACAGTTTGCATAGTACTTGACACATAGTTAGCTGTTACGAAGGTTACTGCTAATTGCTTATCCAGTCCATAATAGTCAAACTGACTTATAACTAGAGTGAACCGGACTTAAATTAGGTAGATAATGGTAGATTGAATTAGATTCTGGCCAATGTTACCTAATACTTGGACAGGAGAGGGCTCCCTTGCTCCAGCTATGAAGATCATTAGCTATGTTCCATTCTTATGTGCATTTTTTGCTGCTTACATGTCACAATATATTCAAGTGTATGGTATCACCAAGTTTTAGCCTTGGTAAAATTGATAAGATGGTTAGAGGAAAATACTGATTTTTCAGTATTTGAAGCAGAATGCCTTTTTGTCTCTAAATCATGTTCCAACTCCAAAATAAATTTTAATTAATAAATCTGAAAATCTCATGTAAGATTTAAAAATTTTTTATTTATCCTTGTGTGCCAGTAAAATACTTAATGAATCCTATTTGAGAGTTTTGTAGCGTTCAGTTTTGTTGTGTTTATGTCATTGTATGATACCTTGTTAATCATTGCTTATTCAAATTAAAGAAGAACTAATCCCTTTGCTGCAAAAGTTCATTCATTACCTTCAAAACAGCTAATTAGGTAGCTGGATACTTGGGATTAGGAATGGAGTTGTCCCCTCAAATTATATGTACATGCATGTAATCTTCCTTATAGATGTTTTTCCTTTATATTTCAGTAGATGACGCTCTTGTCAGCCTAAAAACTAATACCAGAAATCTGGGAATTATCCTTGATGCCTTCTTTTTTCTCATTATTTATGTAAATCCATCAGTTTTACCACCAGGATATATTTCTCTATCCGCTAGTTCAAACGACCATGTCTTCTCATCTAGGCTACTGCTGTATTATCCATACTAATTCCACCACTGTCTTGTCATCCCACCTCTCTCCCCTGAATCCATTCTCCATCTAGCAGTGATTTTCTGTTGTTTTTAGCATATAACCAACTTCTGGACAAAGCCCAAAGGCTCTGTATGATCCAGTATGCAAGGCTTGTTTCTCACTACTCTCCAGCTCACTTTCGCACTCCACCCACATAGCCTTTCTGTTTCTGGAAAATGTCAAACTTGTTTCCATTTAGGGACCCTGTAGATGCTGCTGCCTCTCTCTCTAAAACCCCTGGTCCCATCCGAACTCATCCTTCAGGTCTAAACTTAAATGTTACTTCCTCAGGGATCCTTTCCTGACTCTGAATCTAAGTTAGGACTCCTATTTATAATGCTGTCACAACCCTGGAACTTTCCCTTTATTACACATATGACAATCATATCAAAGTACAGGAGGGCAGGGATTCTATCTGCTGTGTTCATTGCTCTAACCCCAGCATCCCACTGGCATATATTAGGCATAAATAATAAAGCATGAGAAAATGAAAGACTTTGAAGATTGTTTCAGGGCAACTTTAAAGATAGAAAACCGAAGCCAAGTAGACTAGAGACATCTGTTTCTTATGTATTCTTTATTCAGAGTACCTTTGATTGCAGGGTGTACAGGATATATTTCTTTTTTTTTCTAAATAAAGCAGAAAATGACAATATATTACCAAACTTTTAGGAAGACCATGTAGAACTCTTTAATGTCTTCTTAAATGGGATCATCTGGAACTAGGTTGATCTTGATGTCATACTTTCTTGCCAGACCACCTTAATTTGGCCCAGACTTGAATAGTAATTAATAAATGCTCAATATCTCAGCTACATTTGGACTATTGACATTCCTCAAAATAATCTGCTTTCTTGATTTTCTATCTTTTTGACCTCTCATCAGCCTCTTTTGATCATAGTTCCTCCTCAGTCTTACCCTTAAATGTTGGAATTCCTCAGGACTCTTATAGAACTTCTCTTTTTTCTCTCTGTTCTACCTGTATGATCCCATTTATTCCCATAGCCTTGGGTCGCCATTGTACATAATGTTAGATAAGTGGATGGATGGATAATTGGATAGATAGATAATTGGATGGATAACTGTATGGCTAGATAGCTGAATGAATTGGATAGATGCTGTATAGTGATGATTTTTAAAGGTACTCTAACAGATCTTCAGTACTCTTCTCTTTCCATTTCCCTCTCTTGGTAACCATTGTAGAACTGAAAACATTTGTGTTATGACATAGTTTTTTTTTTTAATTACTGAGAATTTTCACCTGTATATGATCTTCAAAAAAGTATTAAGAAAAACAAATATGTATTTGTAAACTGCTTTCAGAAATTGAACATCTATAGATAAAATATTGGTTATACTGCAGCTGATCTATGAGGTTTTTTTCCCCTGGCAACATGAGAGTTTTTAATGTGTTCATTATTTTTTAAGTTTTATGCTAGATATTCCAGACTGTACGAGAGCATAAAATACCCCTGCCTAAAAGAACCTAACATTTTAATTCTGGCAGTAAGTCTAAGGAAAATGAAAGGTTATATGACAGCAAAGCACTTTCCTATAGGACTATAAGGTAACCTCTAGACTATTGGAAAGAATTCTGGTTACAGCTATGGCTATTACACCACTGCAGGAGGATTCTTGACAAAACGATGTTGTTGTGTTTTTTCCAGCACATTCATCCTCAATGAAATCAGAAACTTCTATTAACAGTAAGTATCAAGTATTATTTAGTAAACATATATAGATTGATGGTATTTGCAAATTTGCAAATTGTGACTTGCTCTGATGTAAATTACTTTTGTTTTTGTACTATGTGAGAAAAATCATAGAAAAAAGACCAAAAGTATATTTCTTCCCCAAATTAGAACATTGGAAAGTTTCTTATTTTAAGTATAGAAGAGCATAAATTTTTGTTTTCAGTAAAAATAACACATTTTAACTTCACATTGTAGAATGTGAAGGAAAACAAACAGGGATGAGGTTGGGGTGGAAAGAGAATTGGGGAAGTGGATTAAAATTTAAGAAATGTTGCTTATATTACCCAGGACTGAGTTATCTCTGTCATTTGGTGACTTTGATAAAATTAAATATGTGGTTTGTACACAGAAAGCAGAATATTAGCAACTGGTTGCTACTGGTCAGTTTTTTGTAAGTCCTATAGTTTTCATCAGATTGGATTTCATTGAATATTTGCTACAAATTTTATAATTTTTTTCCTGCAACATTCCAAAAAGTATTTACAATGACTTACAAAGATATGTACAATAAAATAAGATTTTTTAAAGGTAAAATCAGAGTAATGGAAAAATAAGAACAGCAAAGTAAAGCTAGAGGTAAAATTAATACAGACAAATGTTTACCAAAAAGTGTTGCATAATTGCAAAGGTAGGTCACAGATTTGTCACTGTTCTTCCTAACAACCAAACCAAACAAACCACTGGTAGAATGATTAATTGTACCCATGCAATATTAAAGAGAACTCACAGGGTGCTCAGCTTTTTCCAGGCAGAGTTTTGAGAGCAGAATCTCCTGTAGGTTTATAGAAGAGGGCACCATTTGTGATATAATGAACAGTAGCCTTTGAATCTCAATAGTAATACAGTGTTGAATTTCTTGAAGACCTTGCAGTAGATAGACTTAGGGTCTGATGATAAAGTGTATTTCAATAGCATACCTAATTTATAATATCTGGACTTATTTTATAAAAATTCAGAGATTTGAGACTTCTAGGCTTACTTGGAAATTTATAGATTTAAGAATTAAATTGTTTCTCATTTTAAAGTAATACATGTTATGGCAAACTTAGAAAAATAGTAATTACTCCAGATCCCACCATTCAAATTAAACATGATTAGCATTTTAGTATAACTCTTCAGGAGAATTTAAGTATTCAGTAATCAGAAATTTTGCACTGAAAAAAAAATTTTAAGGTATTTACTGTTTAAAAATACAGTGAAGAGGGAGATGTCAGTGGAGGTATTCCTCTAGTTTAGGAATACAGCATATTCCTTATAAATTATTTTACTTATACCAATTTTGTTTTCAACACATTTAAAGCGTCCTAAAGCACTGACACTTCCTTTCTACCCATGTGAATCCTAATCTATCAGTAACTTCTTTTTCTAATTTAGGTTTAGTTTTCTGACAGTTTGTAGAACATAGCCAGGCGTGAGATGATAGACTTACACTATCTGGAGATGGGGTAGTAAGTATATATATTTTTAGAAGGCATGCACAGGTTAAAGTGGGAAATTTTATTTGCCTTTTACCTGTATCCAGCTATCCATTGCAGTGAGAGATGTGAAGACCTATTTAATGTGGGGAAAACATTGCCCTTTTCCAGTTCCAGTTTTTCATTGTTAAAAAATCTTTTGGGGAAGGGTCTTGACGTATTTATATTCATTCTTTCATTTCCTCTTCCATCATTCTCCCTCCCACTGTCCTTCCCCCAGCCCTCTCAATCCTCCCCCTTTTCCCAGCAATAGTCCTAAGTCTCTTTACCCTCCTCAGCCAGGTCAAACTTCTAGTGGTAAGTAGGGGAGAATACTATACCCAACTTGAAGAACCTCTGGCTTAGCTTGGTTCTTGAAGTAGAACCATTTCGAGTAGGAGACATGTACCTTATTATGGTATGCCAAACCCAGGTATCTTCTTAGGTGGTCTTGGCAATTTCAGAACTCAGGTTTTGCTTTTCTGTATTTCTTTTCCATTTGGATAATATCCAGTTACCCTCTTACCCCATCTAACAACATATGGATTATTAAAGCCAAATCCGTAAAGAAAAACCCAGTTTGTATGGGGAGAAAGAATTTTAACTTGCATTATTTGTCAACCACAATGGCAAGTGGTTTACTTCACTGCCTTACAATGGCAAGTTGTGTACCTCATTTAATCTTAGTAATGGGCATGTAATATCCCATTTTGCAGACAAGAGAACCAAGACCCAGAGAATTTACATAAATTCCTAAGGTCAAATAGTTGGTTAATAGCAGAGCTGGTATAAACACAGGTTTATAACTCCAAAGTCTGTGCCTTTTTACCTATATCATCAGTAACTCTTCATCAGTGGATCAAATTAAGTCCATTCTTTGTACTCTAATTTTGGCAGACTGACTGTACAAATCCACATTAAATGATTTGATCTGTCTGTGTCCTGTGTCTCAGTTCTGTCTGTAAAATGGGTGTAAAGCAACTATTGGATTATTATCAGAGTCAAATAACATAATGAACATGTAAAGCATGTGTCTGACATAAAGTAACTCCTTGATAACCTTGTAGCTATTATTGTTGTAACAAGAGAAAAAGAAGATTCTGGACATTATAAACAGATTTTGTGTTTGTTTTCTAGAATTGGTCAGATCCAAAGTTAAGTCTTTAGACATGTCCATTTGTTGTCATAATTGGAGACTTGCCACTTCTTCAGTAGGCCAAGTTACTTAGGTATCCTGTAATACCCAGAAAAAAAAAAAGATGATAGACCTGCTTTCATTATTCAAAGCGTGCAGGGAAAATGATGTGCAGTTTGCATTACATTCTGAAAGGAACATTGAAAACTTAAAGCAGATCAAGAATAGAACAAAGTGGTGTCAGAACTTGAAATTTGACAAGAAGGTTGAAGGAACCGTTGATGTTTAGCTTAGAGAAAGGTGAAGAGGGAAGGGGTAAGGAGACAGACATGGAAACTGTAGATATTTGCAAAACTGCTACTATGTAGGAGACTTATTTTTGGTGACTGGTTGGCAGAACTAGAGTCTGGATAAAAATAACTAGAAAACAGACTTTTGCCTTAATTTAGGGAAAATCTTGTCAATTAGGACTATCCGAAGAAAGGAATAAGGACTGGGCTGCTTCAGGCAGTAGTGAGGTGCTCAAGTATAGATGGACAGCCACTTGTTACAGAGGTGTTGCAGTAAGATAAGGGTCAGACCTCCAAGCTCCCCTTCCAACACAGAATCAGTGTCTTAAATTCTGATCCCCACTTGTCAGTTACTATTGTGTAGATTTCACAGGAGTACCGGTTTGTATTGCACATTCTTATTGTTATTTCCTTAGCAACACCCTTCCCACCTCTGGCAGGTTGTAGCAGTTATCAGAGAAATGATGTGAGATTCTGTCACCATCAGGGAGGTAGGTATTTAGATTTATATTTAGGTATTACAGATTCCTGAGATTGTAAGGAACTTAAAGATCATATAGTCCAATCTTGTAGATTTGATCCTCTTAGAATATTTGGCCACTTTTTCAGCATGTTCTCTTTCAGAGAGAGTTATTTTGTATTGTTATTCTAAACTCGTCTTTTTTAGTAAAACTGGATTGTCTGGTATCAGAAAACTGGTGGAGGAAAGCTGGCATGTGGGAAGTACTCTTGAAACGGAAGAAGAGAACAAATGGTTATAAGGCCTTTTGAAATTAGCTGCCCACTTTCAAAGGCCTCATAGGTTTCTTCTCTGACATCATCAACAGGATAACGCTATAGTGATAACTTTTTTAGGCCTGATTAGTTTTTCTGTGCATTCTTTATCTCCGTGAGTTTTTATAAAAATAAGACTAGAAGACTTTTATTTTCCCTTTTCACATATTCAGTTTGGGACAGTGGCAGTTCCAGTGTTAGTGCTGGCTGTCACTGAGCAGGAATCTTGTTCCCAAAGCTTTATAATTTCATCATCTTTGTGTCTAGATCATTAGAAGTACAACCCCTCACTCCCTCCCCCTTTTTTTGGTGCCATTTTTCTTAGAATTTGCGCTGGAATAGATTCAGTTAGGACCAAAGTTCAGACTCACTGACTTAAGGACCAAAGTTCAACAGGGAAAAGGCTAAAACTGCTGTGGCAAATCAATAGTGTTTTATTTTTGTGTTGTGTTTAACTAAGGGACATTCTGTGTTGACAGGCCAAATTTGTATCAGTTCTTTTCTAGACTAATGGTCATTATTGCAGAGGAATTATTTGCTAACATAATTACTTTGTAGCATGTAATTTTATTGTCTCATCATAGATGTTTCATTATTTGATAGTTTTTTGTTACTATATTTTGTAAATATAGTATGATCCATTTGAAATATGTTTTGTTATATTTTTAAAATAGAAGGTTTTTTTTTTTTTTACTGATCTTTGAAGGTAACACATGATCACTGTTTAAAATACAAAAAATTTGGAAAAACAAATTAGAGTAAAAATATCCCAGACCTATGGGTAATAAAACTTTTTATATATATATATATACACACACACATATCTATGTGTGTACATACATGTGTATAAATAATACTATA